ACGGAATAATTATTTTAAGCTAAATAATTGACGATTAAAAAATACTTTGATTTTTAAGTAGTACCATTTGGTCCACGGCCCAGTACCGGGCCGCGGACCATATGTTGGGGACCACTGCTCTATACAGGGTCCGCCATATTTATGGCAACGCATGTTTTTTTTTTTTTTTTTTCTCAATGAAACAAACAGGCGCATTGTTCTTTTATTGGATGAGCTGGTAGCCAAGAATTACCTAAACAATTCTCAGACACATTTATTCAATATGCCCACCCTTATTTTTAATGAAGGCCTCTAATCTACGCGGGAAGGCTTCACAGGAGACACGCAGAATTTCTTGAGAGATCAAGTCCCATTCTCGTGTCAATTTATAATTCAAACTATTCAAAGAATCACGAGGTGTTCTGCAGACCCTACTCTCTAAAATAGCCCACACAGAAAAGTCGAGAGGAATCGAATCAGGGCTTCTTGAGGGCCATTCATTTTTGCTAATGAACGCTGGGATGTGACACTGAATCCAGTTTTGGGTCATGTTTGAGCCATGTGATGGGGCAGAGTCTTGTTGAAAACTCCATGGTGAGCCGTTGAAGTGTTTACGGGCCCAAGATTATAACACAGCTTTCAAAACGTCCGATATGTATCGCTGACTGTTCAATAACGGGGACAAAAACGAGTGGGGACCTCCCAGTGGCGGTTACCGCGGCCCAAACCATCACGGACATGGGATTTTGACGTCGTGTTGCTATTCTGGTTGCCCCAGATCCTTCCCGACTCCAAACTCTGCCATTTTGACGGTTAACGCTTTGTTCAATGTCAAATTTTTTCTCGTCACTGAACACCAAGTAAGGCAGCGTGCCATCATCGATGAGATCCAGAATGTGCTGGCATCATTCGAGCCTTATTCGTTCATGACGGTCTGTTATTTCATGCCTTAATTATTGTTTGTATCTTGTAAGGGGAGGTTTTGAGGTCATCTTTGAGGACTCTACGCATTGATGTCTGACTGACTCCTGCTTCTGCAGCCAATTTTGCAGCTGAGCGACAGGGTTTCTCCTCAACTTCTCCCTCGTGTTTTTGACCAATTGTTTTGTTCGGACACTTCGTTTCCTTCCTTGACCAGGTCGATTGTATGTTTCACCAGTTTCCTTTAATTTTTTTACTACCTTCTGCACAGTTTCACGACGAATTTGGAGCTTTTTTGTAATGACTGAATCACTCTCGCCCTTTTTATGAAGGGTTACAATTGCATTTCTATCTACTGCCATAAGTAATAGTAATTTCTTCTCGCTTCGAGTCACCGACATGTGGAACAGCCTCCCTGATAGCATCGTTGACGCTCCGAGTATGAACATCTTCAAAAACAGACTAGACGAAGCTATGCAGGAGCATATGTTCAGTCTTAAACTGCCTAGCAAATTACGGACCATGGCAGGCAATAAGTCCAGCAGCTATCTCAATCAAAAGGCCGGATCCCTTGTGAATCAAGTCACGAAAAGTTCAAGAATCGGCAACAGGCCATGGGCCTATTTCTTCAACGCCGACAATTCTATTCTATTCTATTCTAATAATAAATTTAGACACCTTAGACTTCTGCAATATAAAATAGATTAATTAATAGATGATATTAAGCTTCATTATAAAAGAAAAGTCTCCTAGAAACCAATTTATTTTATATAGCAAACATCAGTTGCCATAAATATGGCGGACCCTGTATATGTTCGTCCCTCGTCATTTTTCTGTAATAATTGTACTCCAACGTCCCGCCCGAGGTTAACGGTAAACATGATGTAAACACTCGGATTGCAGTCTCTCAACCTAAAGACTTTTAAACAATTTAAGTCACTCATTATTGAGCTTCTCTAATGCCTACTACGTACAATTAAATTGATAAATGGAACAGCTGAAGTGTAAATTCAATTCTCTCAAATGAATGAACTACATTGTAACGCAAACTCTACTACAAATCAAGTTCAATATGTGTGTGTGGGCGCACTATGTTAACCCTTAGCAGTTCAGTTCGTGTGATTTTCGTCCAAATCGTTCAATCTCTGCAAGCGGGACACCTTCTCCAACGAAAAAAAATCTAGAGCAAATTCGCGTATGATAAAAAACTAATACAAGATAGTGATGACCATGCAACTTGTCGTCGTTTCTCAGAACTAGTGTATGAATGGCGCTCAGATGGAGCTGAAAAAAAAAAAAAATTCCAACAAAAAACTGTTGCGGCACTTCGTACGAGTTCCTGCTAGCTGCGTTGCAAGGTAAGTCTTGCATCATGCCCTACGCGAGCCCCAATGTCCACGAAGAATGAATGCTTGTGTATATATCATCCTTCTAGTAACTCGGCAGCCCAGTGATACTTGAAAATTCCAAGTTTTACACTGAAGACCTTTAATAAATGAAGCACCAACGCTATGCTTCATCTAATATGCAATGCATGGAATAGCAAGCATTTTCCAATTGATCTGCTGGAATGATTGACCTAAGAACTGTGATAGTTTTCTCCAACTAATAGAATAGAAGCGTCGGCGTTGAAGAAATAGGCCCATGGTATACGAGGCCATATTATGAATTAATTGTGTAAGATTTATTCCCAGGAATAAGTTGCTGCCCAACTATGTCACCTGAACATAAAAACGAATACTTTATTTTTGCATGTTAAAATCTGGACGATAATTTATAACAAAACTATTTGAGTTACCCTGCATCATTAAATTTTCAAGCTGCAGTCTTACGGGATAGCATGTCGGACATCGAACTAATCTGATTAGTTATCTTCGCTACCGCAATCGTTAGCGACTTCAGTTAACGGTACTATTGCCACAAGGTAATGTGTACTATGCATTATCTCCTGTAAATACACTGAGGCTTCGTCAGGGAATTTCTGAGGAAGGTTCTAATTTGGATATGCAATGTCTCGGTCGTAATTGGCAGCAAGGAAATCCAGTGTACGAATATAGACTCGTAGAATGAATGGGATGCTCCAGGAAGAGTTTTTGTCGGGTCATGGTGGCAAAAGATGCAAAAAGTATTGATATAAATCGGTCTTAATCTTAATTATCAAAGTCGCGCACATAATCAACTGACTGATCGTTGGATATGTGAGTTGAAATGTCAAATCAAAGAACAAAATTACTTTAACCTGCAATAAGCAAGTAATAAGGAGCGAGTGTTTCCAAGCATTCAAGAAGTATCTCGCTATTATACCCAAGAGAACCGACCCTGACCTAGCAAGGCGACCCAGCTTATTCTGTACGCGCCCCGACACAAATCCCGACGCTCCCTCACCATCTGCGCGCCATTGCTCTCAGGAAGCACACATGAAAGGTCGAGATCTGCTTACCGTTGTTCTTCAGGCGCTGTCGCACCGTATTGATGAATAATAGCGTTAGCTTGGCGCATTACTCAATATCGTGAACGTACCGTATTAATAAAAAACATTATTGCACCGTCTTATTCAGTAGCGTTATAAATGTACCGTATTATTCGGCGACGTAAGCGCTGTATGAGTGAGACCAAACCATGGAGAACTTTTTCAAATAATAAAAAGTCTCATTCAGAATTCTTCCTGCTGAAATTATGTCGTAGTACTTTTTTATTTATTTATCTTGTCATCATTCCTCCTGTACTGTGTTGGCAACTCAGGCAGCCTCGAGCGCGCTGCTCACCGAATAGTCAACTTGGCTAAACATTCGTCAGCGAGGTTTCGGAAGTTGAACAGCCGGAGAGAACGCCTTCATCACGTGGCTCCGGTCTTCTCTTTGCTAATCAAGTCACGTGCAACGGAGCCGCGCATTGGCTGATGATGACGAAATAGGCGCTACCAACGTGACGGGCATGAATTTACAAACTCAGCCAAATGCCTGGGTGGGCGCATAAACGTAAAAAATTATCAAAAAATGATTGTGCGGTTATTATATATGATTCCAGTGTATTATAGTGTTCAAAACTGAATGGTTTTATGGATCATTTTGCGAAGAATCTAGATTGTACCGGTTTAGACTTGGTATTGATTATTCTGGGGTTGTGTCGGGGGCAGCCAGGCAGCCAATGCCAGCCAAGAGCGGCGCCTATATAAACGTCACCGGATCCTGGGCGCGCCAGTGAACGTTTAAACGTTGCCTGTTAAGCATCACTCTTCTCCATAGCGAAAGATCGCATAATTGGGCATTTGCCCACGTGTTGAATCTTTCCTTCCTAAGGGAGACATAAAATTGAAGATCTCCTGAACATCGGAATCATGCTCAAAGTTTCCAAGAAACGGGAAGCGCCGATGCGGGACGAGCTTGTGAGTGATATTTACAACATTTGTACTAATATGAATAATTAGATATATATTAAATTTTATTTTTTTTGAAAAGAGCGGTGCATATTTTTTGTCTATTTGAAACCAATTAGATTGAATGAAATTTGGCTACAAGAATTACTCTGCACAGTGTCAGGGCCAAGTTATTGAACAAAGTCCCATTTAAGAGAACTAGTAGCTAGGTAGTAGGTATGTGATTGTTCTGTCAGAACAGAACGTCCGACGAGAATTCGTAATTTTTCTCTTGCGCGATTTATTACAATGTATTCTCCCGAACAATACGGAAAATTGCATGGTTCCATAGCCATCCACATTTTGGTGAAGCTAATCGTCAGTCGGATCACGCTTACTGTTGATTCGCATTAACATCAAGTTCGGGTAATCTGCTGGACTGGAACTGGAAGCTCGCGTCCATTTGAAACTTATGTCTTAGCCCCAGTTAAAGAATTAAGTAGGTAAAGGCAGGGGAATCTTTTAGGTATAAAGTGAAAAAGGGAAAAAATCTGCTCACATTTATTTTCAGGATACTGAGGATTGAGTGCCATATTTTTTACTCGATTTGTCTGACGTTCAACGTAATATCCACTCAGGTAGCAGTGAAGTCCGACCTCGGACTCCTGGCGGGCGACTCCGACGATTGCTCGCCATCGAGCTCACGTCCAACTCTCGCCCTGAGTGTCGGACAACCGCACTGGTAGCAGTGAAGTCCGACCTCGGACTCCTGGCGGGCGACTCCGACGATTGCTCGCCATCGAGCTCGCGTCCAACTCTCGCCCTGAGTGTCGGACAACCGCACCCATACCGCGACCACCGCCCTGCTCCTTTGCCCGGTGAGTAATTTCTTGGAAATTCTAGCTTAGGTAATAGCCAGCACATAGAGCAGCAGCTTCCTCTGTGAGTCCAGAGTTTTCATATTTGACTAAAGATATGCGTAACTAGAGCAATCGCACCGAAATCGCGCCACGCTTATCTGGTGAGTTGTTGGATTCAGCGAAAAAAATTCTTGCCGCTGTGTAATACACGTCGGCACTCAACGCGATCACCACTTGTCTCCTCAGCCTGGTTTATCGTTTATCATTTATAACTTTTACTCACTGAAGTTTTTAAGGTGCCAGTTTTAATTCTGTTTGTTTTCAAGTAATGTGTTTGCAAGAGTATGGGCCATTTGAGCAATCGAGGAATCCTGGAAAAATTCATTTTTTATACATGCTTTTGAGTAAAAACACTTCCTTCATAATTTGATCATGGTAATGTTTAACTTATCTTGTTTATTTATAAACCTTGGCCAGGTTAAGCGATATAGGTCTGTCGAAAGTTCGAAGATAATTCATTTCAGTATCAAATCTTTTCGGAAACACCCACAGAGACGACAGTGTTTAATTTTAAATTTGAGTCTCGAGAGAAATGATATTGGCGCTTATTCATTTCAACCATTTTAATATGAAATTTGGTATTGAATCGAGGAGCATAGAAAATCGTACATAGAATATAAGTATTGAACGCTCTCAAGGGAATGTTGTTGATATCGATCGAAGGTATCTAACGTTTCATGGCGTTTGTTGCTCCTAACTTCCATGCAGGCTAATATTCTAGCGCGACCTCATTTTGCTGCTAAGAGTTGATCTTTGCACCGTGGTAAATATAGCATCGTGGCACGATCATGATATTTTAAAATTATTTCTTTATAACGAAGAAGCGGCGAGGCCAGTGACAGATGTAGAACGAGGACTGAGCCGCAGCGCGGCAGTGAGAGAATTTCGCGCGCGCGAGAGTCAATTGATTCAGCCTACTTGCTGCCTTTCTCGTCCTCCCGCCAACTGGCGGAAGGCGGCAAAGATTTCCGGTTAGCGATCATAGCCTTGGGCGCTGTAGCTGCTGAACCGATTTCCTGTCACCTTAATAATATAAAATTGGGGTGTTAATAAAAAGTTCTAATCTATGTTTCCGGTCCTATTATAAAGAAAATTTATTTAAACATTTATTTTTTTTTACAAAACTCCAATTTGCGTACTACTATCATACACTTAGCTAAGCTAACATTGTTACAATCGGAAATAAACATATCCCTGTGTTATTTCCACTACGGCCGCAAGAAATAGGAATATTGATGAGCCTGCAAAATATTTATTGAGGCCATCGGACGATGACACCGCCACGCGCCTCGCCCCAGCAATCTAGCGTCTCACGACTCGTCTGTTACCAGACCGTGCGAGGCGATGTTTGTTGCTAGAATTAGAGGCGATTGTTAATATCGGCGATAATATCTGAAGGCATTTTTAAGGCCTCAGATGAAGTTCAGGGAAATTTGTACGTTCATTTCAAGTATATATATACATGTGTGATCTGTAGGAACACCATATAAGTAAATTAAAATTTTCACTGAATTGGTTCCTCAGGAAATGTCCGCAATAATATCTGTTAAACATTTCCAACTTATATATTTTTCAATATTTTATTATATTTATCTATATTTACACGGTGTGTTCATAGTACAACTAAACTCAAAGCAGATTGACCAAAAGACACTGTGTCAGCAATGCGACTCAAACTTTGTGCGCAAGGCCGAGCAAAGGTGGCTGCTGCACTGGGAGGCTTGGGTGCGAAGGATGGGGTGATCGAAAGCACTGCGGTTATTTTTGTCATCACCTGCCTTACGGTGCAGCGTGATGGTTTCATGGTGGTGAGTTAAGAGCGTTAGGGTTTAAGGGTTAAGATGTTGACGGAAGACAGCGCCACTGCAGTGCACTGGTTGGCGCAAACTATTTACGCAGCGGTAACAGCTCAGAGATGAAAGGAGCTAGCCACGGGTTCAAGTCCTAGAAGCTGAGTTAATTTTCAGTATCGCTGGTGGGCGTCGCTTGGTCGTCATTAAGGGTGGTGTTTGCAGCATGGTGCCCGGTTGTTCTCCCTAAACGAACTTTGGATACGCGTTTCCTAAGGATCTTAAGGCGGAACAGCCTTCTACCTCGAGTAAAGTCTTTTTTGCCTCGAGCCGTGGCAAATAACTCTCAGTTAAACATGAAAATAATTCATCTTCAATCCCTTATAGGGACTCTCTCATCTCATAAATTGCGACATCAATCTTCCACGAATTTGTTAATTATGACTCATTCATGACGTCATCACTTCGTATTGTGAAATGTCGATCTTAATTAGTGTGCAGCTGACACCATGACGACAATCAGAGATAATGGGATTCTTGCGTCATCTATGACGTCATGGATATGTCACCACTCACCAGCTCCGCCGGGTTAGGAGGCAGGCGGGGGAAGGGGAGGGCATTGCCCACTGCAGATGTGGGGGTAGCGCCGTGGGTGAAAAAGGGGCAACTTAACCGCCCGGACTCCCTGATATCGATCCTCTCCCGAAGACCCTGCATCACATCCTCTGCTCCTTACATCCTGCAAAGTGCGATTTGTATCATGTGTTGTTCAAAGGTGTACATGATGATCGTTCGTGCTCTTCAATTGCACGCTTTCAGGGCTTCAAGAATTCATTGGACTTCTTAAAGCGTTGCACCACACTTTGTTTCTACTATTGCACATACATGTGATTTAAGTTGCCATTTGATTAATTACATCTTTTTAAAAGAAGAATTAGTCGAAAATAAGCAGAACGACTGCCGTAACACAGCGTCGAGCTCCATCTTAGTTCCACGTAGGCATATGGTCAGCAAGGTAGAAGTAGAACTACGACGGAGCAACAGCTGTTGCACCACTGTATGCGTGCGTCTGCTGCTGCTGAGTGCAGTTGCTTGGTTGTACATTTTTCGTCATAATCATCAAATAGTCGTCACAAGCATCACCGCAATCATGATCATAGTCATTGCCAACACCATCGTCGTTATTATCATCATAATAGTCACAATCATCATCCCATAAATCATAATAATCATAGCCAAAATCTTGAGGAACGATTCAGTGTCGACAAATTATATCACCAACAAGACGAGTATAAATAAGGTAGAAAGGAATCCCATTTACCCCATGGCGATGGGTAATGGATTTTTTCTTGTAAGTTCGGATTGTCGAGGGCGATGAATTTCTGTTCCATTCATTCTATAAAGAGTTTCTATTCGTCCGAAATATTCACCGGAAAGATGGAATTTTTCGAATGTTTACGCTTTTTAATAAATTTTTCTAAAAATACTCAAAGAAAATGAAGAAAAGTTCACGTTCCATATTGAAAACCAAAATTCCATGACCTGTAGTACTATAAATGAAATTGAAGCTTCTCCCTCAGCGCGGAGTGCGATTTATATACGAGCCTAATATGCAAACAAATATTGATTGTAATTTTTGCAAACAAGGATCACACTGGAGGTATTTATTGCATATCATGTAGTTTCTGTTACAAGTGAATAAGTCATTTTGGTTTATTGGTTCGGGTTTTTCGTTTCTAAGGATATGAATTGAATTCCATAATCGTAAGAGAATCAGTGAATTGTTCGTACAAAGTCATTTCCTTTTTTAATCGTTATTTTTATTCATTCTGATTTATGTTGCCTTGAATTTAATGCTCCTACTTTATTTGTCTCTAAGCATAGTCTTAAATGAAGTAAGTTCATCTGCGGTCGCTGCGACGTCTTCGGTGACCATGAAATCAGACTATGCCGGAGCATCGATCCTGAGGCAGCCTTGAAACGTTGCCTCTTGAGCGAGCTGATTATACTTGAACCTGTGACGTGTGACGTTGCTTCCAACTGTAAACTACTACAGCGTTAGTAGTCATGCGACAAATGCTGAATGTAGTCATAATCAATAATAGAAATATCTGATGAAGCATGTATATTTCAGCGTGAATTCGATCGATTAAAGCAGCTGCGATGTCGCAGGGTCGTCGAAGAAAGAAAATTGTATCCGTGAATTCTAAGTGAAGGACAGTAAGGGATTTTCTATATCAGTATTGGCTGCGTTCGAGTCGCTGGACAGAATTTGGCATCTCGAGTCTCGACAAGCCATGGGATGCCTGTGCCTAACGGATAGAGCATCCTAATGATCAGGTCGATCTCTGTGCATATCGTTGAAAAATACTTGCAAGATGTTTAAAACATTACATTTTTCGATGGCTGATCTCTTAGTGTCCAGTTAAATGGGGTTGTAAGTCTCTCACACAAAAATAAAATCCTGATTTTATAATGTGAAATTCTCTTTAAATGCGCTTATTAATTGAAATAGAAGCTCTTGATCAGTGTGATTGTTTATGAACCTTATTATTCAATGAGCCTCTGTAAAACCTTACATAGAAGCAACACCACCTTTCTGTTTAGGCATCGGTCGTTTTTATAGCTACCGTTTCAAACGCATGCATCAGTTGCTAGAGTGAAGCCTTGAGTCTTCAGCACAGCTTATCAGATTGGCATAGCTTCTGTGACATTCGGGTGCCTCCTCTTATCGAAATGCGCCTTTGCCTGTGGCTTTCAAAGCGCCTTTACGTAATGAATCAGTTAAAGCTTGGCGCTTCGGCGGCTTTATGTACCGTATCTCTCACACCTGTCCCGCGAGCCGCGCTAATGTTTTTGAATATTCATATTTTCAATACTTAGCTCAATCATGTTAAACTTTTTAACAATTTTATTTTTTTTATTGAAGGGTTATTAATTGTATTGGCGACGTAATTTGTTGCTGCACCTATTTTAATTACAAAAACCATTCACTGACGTGCTCATGCTACTGCATATTGTAGAAAAGCTGAACTTATTTGATGGCCACTTAGTCCTGGAAGTTAAGCATTTGAGGATTTCTACAAGTTGTTCCTGGTTAGGTTCTTCCAGCCGACGCTGGATGAACAACCAATTCATTGAAAACTCAGTAGGTTAGCAGACCGTACTGAAACTTGTCATTTCTGATGCTGGATTCATGTAAGCTCTTCTCGTCTGTAGAGATGGTGTAACAACTTTTCGTTCCGGCGTCAATATTTAATGGCAAATAACAGATAAATTAAGACCAATCGTGAATACAGGCGTTTGCCGAGGTGCGAAGTTCTGTTGTCTTGACGATATCCCACGACGAGGATATTTGCAACTCGCGTCGGAAAATGAGTTCGGATTTGCGACAGGAAACGAAATGCACACTGAACTCTTGGCTACATGTATAAGAGCAGTAATTGTTGTGGAACGTGTGTGGAATTTTCGTCAAGTGTCTTTTAACGTTGTTTTGGTGCTAACATTTTTAACGCTCTAATCGAGATCTTTTTATCAAACGATAAATTCAAGATGTGAACATTTGTGATTTTCGGCACTGAGGTACAAAGTAATTTATTCAACTAACTGTGTTCCCACCTTAATGGAGGACTCCATGAACAAAATGGTGCCTCGTCAATGTAAGTTAGCCGCTCGTTTGCTTGTTTTTCTCGATCTAATTATTCAAGTCGCATCTGCCGCAGCTCGGTGTTATAAAAAACTTAAGAATTCCCGACGCTCGAGAGCTCACAACTCGGCTAATATTATAATATTCATCCCTCTCAGACTGATAAACTTAATTCGGTTCTTGCAGCACTAAAAATGTGCCGATTAGTTCCCGTTCAACTTTAACATATTATGCGCTGTTTTTGTGCTACTCGTCTTCGACTCCCGGAATGAAGGTTGAGTATCTGATGCCGATATCGCTAATTTATTGAATTTTCTGTCTAATTTTACTTTTATTAAATCTATTTAGTAGCTAAAATGTCTTCTGCAGCTCTACAGCTGAGTCAACTGTCAGTTCGTGCTTCTTTATATGGCTCAGTTTCTCTTTTATTCTGTAAGTTTCATATGCCTTTGTGATGAAAAATTTTTAATTTGTGACTTATTTCTCCGTAATCTACATTATAAACACATTTATACAAAAGCCACAACTGGTTGACAATAATATTTAGCCTATGGCTTAATAATGACTGATCGGTTGTATTTATTTTCGATGCGATTTCTTTGCGTATTATCTTTGTAACGTATATTATGTTTGTAACGTACATGATATTTAATTCAATCGACTTTTAGACGCGATATTATTGCAGTAGCCAATACATCTATCATTGTTTTAGTACTCAAATTCAGTCTCGTTTTGTTTTGCTATTTGTTTTTGATGTTTTCTAAACGAACTTGACGACTGTATTTATTCTTTCCCTGCTAGAATTTTTCCCGCACATATTTTTCTTACCTGCGGGTCGTGTTTATTGTCCACCAGAACGCCAGGGGCGCTGCTGGCCGCTGATGGTGGTGTGCAAGCTGGTGCTGCTGCTGCTGCTTCTCTACCTCTTCATCAGCTCCCTGGGCCTCCTAGCCTCCTCGTTTCGGCTCCTCGGCGGCAAAACTGCGAGTGAGTATTCCTTTTGTTTTAGGTGTAGGGACTTTATTATTTTTACTGCAATAAGTGTCTTTAGCAGGAGGTCTGCGATTGAACGTCTATTTTGTTCTTTGCCTTAATGGCGAAAACCGTTACTGAACTGGATGTATTCTATCATATCATGGGAGGATCGTCACCCTCATTCAAAATAAAAGAAAACCATTACGTAATTTTCCCAACTTGAATAGGCTCTATCTTGTTCACAAATTCCAGAGAGGCTAAAATTATAGGATTTTTATTCGCATCTACAGATTGATTTTATATTCCAGGCATCATTCAGTTGCATTATTTCTCTAATTTAAACATCCCAATAAATCGCTACTCTTGAATAATCAAAAAAAAAAACTCGTAGCCCACCCCCACGCGGTTCGAACAACGGTACAGTTATACGACAAAAATCCTGCATAAGAAGATGGCTGGTTTAGCACGAGGCATATGTTTTATGGCGCACATATTATTTCCGCGTATAGATTTCATAACACTAAGAGCCCCTGCCATCAGAGGAAGGGTCGCTCAACGGACAGTTTTCACTTTCAAGGCATCGAACTAAGCCCGTTAGTTAGACCGTCCGCACGTGGCTAATTTAAGACGTGTCTCCCCGACTTATAACGTGGCATAAATAAATTTTGGCTTCGGCATGATGCTTGTTCAAATATATTAGCAGGTGTGTGGGTGAATATGATGATGACAACTGATAGAATATCATAAATTAAATGAATTTGCACTCGCGTCCAACATTAATATCACACGAATATCACTCGACCAACATTAATAATCGTACATTAGTGTAATTCACAAGAAGCATCATTTTAACAAAACTATACCGAAAAATCAAACCCACCTGAACACAGTAAATCATAATTAGTGTATCTTATTAATCATTATTATTAATATTATTATTATTATTATTATTATTATTATTATTATTAAGATATGTCAGCCCTGGAGACTGGTCTCGTGTAGCTTACGGCGAAAGGCACCTTAACAATAGTTATATTAGACCGGTAATATTTAGTGTTTGAGGCGATTTCCAGTGATTTTCGCTGATATACAGAATTTTTTGCAATTATACTGATTTATTTACAGATTTTTAGTTGATTAGCCGTGATTAAATGCCTTGAAATGCGATTCACGTAACCAGTAAAGACTGAAAAATTTTAAACGTTGTGTAAATATTGAAAATATTAGGATAATTGCCGCTGTACTACTTCCAGCAAAATGCTTGGATGATTTTTACTTCCATTAATATAAAGTTAGGAAAGACCGAGGTTCCACTGTGACGACAAAAATTTACAGTCATGTTTCACCAGAAATATTTTTTTTTCATTAGGTATTGTGAAGAAAACTGTCTGAAACGCTCATCACTTGAAGTAACATTCTAATAGGGAAAGAGCCAATAATGGAGCTACTACCTCTCACAATTACTAGCCAAATAGTTATAAGTAGGATGATAACGACTTATGTGATAAAGTACATGCAAAATAAAACAATAATACACAATAGATATCATAGCCCAGACTAAAAGAAGAACATGTATGTGGTGGCAGGCTCGGTGTTCCAGCGACTAATGTGATAAAGTGCTTGTGAAATACAACAATAATGCATATATATCATAGCCCAGATAACAAGAACATGTATGTGGCGTCAAGCTCGGTGTTCCAACGACTAAGGTGATAAAGTACATGTGATATACATCAATAATGCATAAATATCATAGCCCAGACTAAGAAGAATATGTATGTGGTCTCAGGCTCGGTGTTCCAACGACTAAGGTGATAAAGTACATGTGATGTACAACAATAATGCATAAATATCATAGCCCAGACTAAGAAGAACATGTATGTGTCGGCAGGCTCGGTGTTCCAGCGACTAATGTGATAAAGTACATGTGTTATACATCAATAATGCATATATATCATAGCCCAGACTAAGAAGAACATATGTATGTGGTCTCAGGCTCGGTGTTCCAATGACTAATGTGATAAAGTACTTGTGATATACTTCAATAATGCATATATATCATAGCCCAGACTAAGAAGAACATGTATGTGGTGGCAGGCTCGGTGTTCCAACGACTAATGTGATAAAGTACATGTGAACAATAATGCATATATATCATAGCCCAGACTAAGAAGAACATGTATGTGGCGGCAGGCTCGGTGTTCCTACGACTAATGTGATAAAGTACATGTGAACAATAATGCATATATATCATAGCCCAGACTAAGAAAAACATGTATGTGGCGGCAGGCTCGGTGTTCCAGCAGTCAGCAGTGCTGGGCAACCCTGTGGTCGGGCTCATGATCGGTGTGCTCGTCACGGTGCTGGTGCAGTCATCGTCCACCTCGTCTTCCATCATCGTCTCCATGGTCGCCGCTGACTGTGAGAACTCAGTGACGCTCTATTATGCAAAGAAATATTAATTTCATTAAGAAAACCGTTTTATTTTTCAAATTTTATAATAGGTTGTGTTATTAGTTTGTCAAAAAGCGTATAAATGCAACTAACTCTATCCAATGAATGAATGAATCAGCGACATTATTTCAGCCAAAATTTTAGTTCAAGTCACTATGTGTTAATTCCTGAGACAGTGTTGATTCTTCACGTAGTGTTAGTTGTTGAAATAGTATTGATATATCAGGCTATTTAGATTCCTTATATAGCGTTGACATCCCGGGTAGCGTTAAAACTCGATGTAGTGTTGATACTGCGGGTAGCGTTGATTCACACTAAAAATAATTCGAGTGAATTTGTTGCGTGCCAATCTGAAACGGGGGCAACATCATTTCAGGTTGCTGTGGAGTTATTTATATATTGCTCACATGCCAGCCCAGGCTACATTTTTCTTAATTTATGCTTTTTGAAAAATGTCCCCTAACCATTTTCAACAAGTTAGCTACCTAAGTCATTTAATTTTTGCAGGAATATTATTAATAGAATTTTATAGCAGAAATTCCGTCTTCATTTTGTATCGTCACACTTTGTTAACAGTCATGGACGTGCGTACAGCGATCCCCATCATCATGGGAGCCAACATCGGCACGTCAGTAACCAACACCCTCGTCTCCCTGGGACAGGTAAGGCCGTGGTTGAATTAGTATTAATTCAACCATGGGTAAGGCCTCCACCTCTTAACCCTAACGTACCTTAGTCTAAAAATGCCGGACACCGTTGTCAAGCTGAAATAAAAAATTAAAGGCAGAATTAACAGGCTTGTCTGTTACGATAAATATGGAAGGTATAGAGGTATGATACATAAGAGAATTAAGCATATTTTTTCATAGAATAGAATAGAAGCGTCGGCGCTGAAGAAATAGGCCCATGGCATGTGAAGTTTGGAATGTTTAACTTCGTGAGAAAACGAAATATTACAATTACATAGCGTTATTATAAGCTGAATGACATAAATTTAACCAAAAAAAGTCACCCTACAACTAAAAATTATCTTCTCTGAAGTGGATTGATTTTATTGCGACCATGTCATGTTTACTGTTCACTGATAAGATTTGCCGACGCTCGATGACGCACTGGGAAGTTACAGCGTAGTCGCTTCGAGCCTCCAGAACATTTGTCTTATTTTAGACTGCGCCGCGCCGTTACTAAATTTACCTTAACTTATGCGCTCAGTTCGGCGTACGATAGCGCGCTCATATTTCTGCGTAAATATGTGCTGGCAGATTGCCTGTATGGGACGCTGTACGCGATAAACAGTCCCACAGTTCTGCAGTTCTTGAAGTCCTAACTTCTTCAGCGATTCCTGCTTTGCTTACAAATTTTTCACATCTTGTGAGTTAGAGATAGTTTATTCAGGTAGTTTCTTCTATTTCATTTTAGGCATTAAAAATTATCTTCATTTTGTTTTTGATCTCCATTAGTATGACTTTTTCGTCTGCGATTATGCCACACCAGCCACAAATACTCATTATGTGCAAACGAATTATTGTAGAAAGTTGTAATTTCTTCATTGATCAAGCAATTTTTAAAGCTAAATAATGCTAAATAATGATAAATAATAAATAATAATAAAATTATAATAATAATTATAAATAATATCAGTTTACTGATATTATGAAGCCTTATATTTCTTCCGTTTTAATTCCATATCCACTCACGCGTAAGTATATTTTATTTCTTAGCTGTCGTTTAGCTGCATTTCTAGTAAAGGCCGTGGCCGGCCCCCATACGCGTAAAAAGATTTTTTTTACGCGTATGGGATTTACGATTTTAATGATTTTTATCATGTCTCAAGCCTTGAAATTTATCTCCGTTTAATGCTTTACAAAATTATCAAAAGACATTCCTGAACTGTGCAGATGGGCAACCGAGACGAATTTGAGCGGGCGTTTGCGGGTGCCACGGTACACGACATCTTCAACTGGATGTGCGTGCTGGTGCTGCTCCCGCTCGAGGTGCTCACCGGTTACCTCTACACCCTCAGTAAAGCCGTCCTCGCTGCCTTCCAGTTTGAACACTCCGAAGAAGTCAAGATCGAACTCCTCTCCAAACTCACCAAACCTTTCACTAAAAGAATTATCCAGGTGAGGTTCATGGGAGAATCCTGCTAGGGCTCAATTCTCCCTGAAAATTGTTTCATTGTGATATCCATTGAAGTATCCTTCCACCACAACATGATAGTGTATTGGACTTGAATTTGATGTGGTCTGTTAAGATTATTAAATGCGTACTTTCAAATTTGTTATTTGAATACTTTGTTATAGTTGGACAAAAGCGTTCTAGAAGGCTGGGCTCTGAACGACCCTGCGTACAACAACGCTACTTTGCTGCGCCGTTACTGCTCCTCTGTCGTGGATGCCAACACAACCGAAGTAGTCACTTGTAAGTTTATTGTATTAATGGGTAGTACAGCCCAGTGGTTACAGTTCAGAGTGCTAGGGTTGGAGCAAAGAGTTGCGGGTTCGATCCCAGCTGTGTACGATAGTCTCTGGTCAGAATCGGCAAGGAGACCGGGCGGTTGAGCAAAGCAAAATTGGAGCAGTGAGTTGTGTGTTCGAGGCCGAAACAAGCTGTGAATGTTTTGCGATGTTATGGATGGGCGACAGGCCTACGGCCTAATAAACGCTGAAACTGCTATTATTCTTTAATGAATTTCGTTTCGAATATCTGTTGTCGCTTTTTACCAATCTTAAATTGAAATTCTGTTTAATCTTGAATTTCGTTTTCATAGAGATTACCTATTTTCGATCGTTGGTTGAATTTGTAACTGAAGAAGAATGTTGAATCGCCTAAAAGTTATATGTATTGAAATGATCGAAACCTTGCACTAGAGAGTGGATAAAAATATTTAAGATATCTCGACACTGCCAGCAATTCACCAATTGTTTTTCATCTACGGAAATTTCCGCGATAACTTTGAATTAATTATATACATTTAGTTTGAAGATTATATGAAATGCTCCGGTTAAGTTAGCATTCATCACCAAATTAGTAAACGAACTGTATTAAACATATTGTCATTTGCAGGCAACCATATCGCCGCTCAGATTCCTCTGGGAGACACCGCCATCGGGGTGATGCTGATGGTCTTCTCGCTGGTCCTGCTCTGTAGCTGCCTCGTGGCCATCGTCAAGATCTTGGGCTCATTGCTCAAAGGTAAGAGCAATGGATTGATAATGTTCACGAGGATTGATAATGTTCATTAACTTAACTCTTTGTGTGTACTACAGGGTCATAATGAATTATTTCCCCCATTTAGTAGTGAGTTTAAAGCTTGTACAGTTCTACATTTGTTCCTAAACATTGTGGAAAAATTGCTAAAATTAACCACTAGCGCTTTCAAAGATTTCGATCTGAAATTGCTTGCGATTCGGAATTATTGCAATGAACAATCTTAAACTAATATTGAGTAATTAATTCAGATAACGAAGTAATTATTATCATTAGAAGCAAATTATTTCGCATTGAGATTTTCATACTAATGTTTTTTATTTTATTTTAGGGTCCGTAGCAAACGTGATTCAAACAGTCCTGAACGCTGACTTGCCTTACGTCCCCTGGCTCACGGGATACCTCGCCATTTTGGTGGGTGCCGTGATGACCTTCTTGCTTCAGTCTTCCTCAATCTTCACTTCATCCTTGACACCTTTGGTGGGACTTGGACTCATCTCAGTGGACCGTGTGTATCCCCTCACTCTTGGTTCAAATTTAGGAACCACTACCACGGCTCTATTGGCTGCCTTGTCATCGGAAGGCAACCGTCTCCACCCTGCCATTCAAGTTGCTTTGGTCCATCTGTTTTTCAACATGAGTGGAATTCTTCTTTACTACGTCATCCCATTTATGCGCATCCCCGTCCCACTGGCCAAAATGATGGGTAGGACTACCGCAAAATATCGCTGGTTCGCTGTCTTCTACATGATCATCAGCTTCGGATTATTCCCCATGATGATCTTCGCTGTATCTCTCGGAGGTCCTACCGCTATCTACTCTGTACTAATTCCTCTGGGCATGCTGCTCTTCTTTGTAATCCTAGTCAACGTGATGCAGGCAAAATGCCCCAAGTGTCTTCCGTCCTGCCTGCGATCGTGGCACTGGCTTCCACTCCCCCTCCGTTCCCTGCAGCCTTTGGATCGAGTCTTCAGTAAATTAGCGTGCTGTTGTTGCAAGACGAGTGATCAGCATTTGTACATGCCACCTTCCGAGCGCTACGATTTTGACGATCAAGCAGGCATTCAAATCTTGGTGCATGCTGACAAAAACAAACCATCAATTTTCTCAAGCAATGAAACATGTGCTTGAGATGCTCCGTTGTTACGCTGCATCAAACTGAAGTTGGCACCCATTTACGTTAATTAAGTTGAGCTGAACCTACAGTCAAACAGACAAGACCCTGCACTCGAGTGGTAGCAAGTTCCGTATTAGAATACAAATATTTGATCGTTACTATCTAAGGCGGAATAGTTAAGCGGAGTTGTTCTTCCGCCATTCTTCACGAAGATCTGTACCCAGGACATCGAATCTTTGCTTAAATGAAGATCGTCGGTCTAGGCCGATTGAACGCAATCATTTCACTTGCTTTGCATTTCAAATAAGGTTTAAGAAGTGAACATTATTCTCCCGTAATTCTTTCTGCGAAGCAATCTCAGTTTCATTGTTATCCCAAGAATATTCTGTTTCGGAGTACTCCAGTATTCACTGTGGCTTACTGTATACTATAGTATACACTGATGTGGCTTTTTCCTCGTGCTAGAGGCTTGATAGGTTAGTAGCCTATTGTGACTGTGATAGCTAATATTAGTGCTAATATACTTGAATGCTGTGCATATTGAGCAATATTGTTCAATACGAGTTCCTCATGCGTATTTATGTTAGCATCTTTTTTCCGCGTAAGCCATTGCAACATTTTATCCCGTAATTATGCAGCTTTACATAATGAATATAGTGTTGTTAAAAAAATGTAGTTCAGTACTCACTGCAGCGAGTGACAGAGAGCGCATTTTCTCGTTGACGAAAACGTGAAGTCACGGACGGACGGACAGACAGACGGACGGACAGACGGACATGGCGAGCACAATAGCGCCTTTTTTCCATGAATGAGAAAATGCGCTAAAAATGCTGACTGGTGACATATATTTTTATACGTAACAATGGATAGTGCTGCATTCTTCACTCTCATTTCCTCATCTCTCACCCTTTTTTTAAGTAACTGTACTGTTTTATTTTAGAATTATATCTAATAAAGTATTTTTGTATGAATGCTTTAATTCTCCGATAATATTTGATCATGAACCTTGCGGCATTCGTTCTCACCTTGAGTTGAAAATGAATATATGAATATTATTTTTTTCCTCTATTCGAAATTGCTCGACACTTTCAATGCCATAAACCAGTCTTTTAATTGGTAAACGCATACTGTGCCCAGACAGTATAATTGAATTGCATTAGAAAAAAAATTGTGCAATTATGACAATTGAAGTACACAAGGGCATAAATAAAATGCCTGTTTAAACCTAAAATAAAACTAGACAAACAATGACAAGTGCTAAGACGAATAAATGATTGTTACATGAGACATCGACTACTATAGAAAGTGTTAATACATCATTTTCATTTTCAATATTTAAATTCATATCATTTCAACAAGATGTCGCAAATTCCCCTTCAGGATGCGACCTTCATTTCTGTGGCCCATTGTCAAGTTAGTGGTGAGCCTAAATTATCCCAAATTAATGAAGGAAGCTCGATGAAACTGTGAAAATGCATTTATTAGGCTACAAAAGTTGTGTTCATTTCGTGATTATTATTTCGATTTCGCTTCCGAGTTGTACGGAAAATTCTGTGCAGTAGGATGGCAGATATATTAGGCTCACTGCGAATATAGGACAGTATAATATCGAACAAAATGATATCGTTGGGTTATACTGAACGCTTTTGAAAAGTTTCATCTTGCTACCTCAACTAGCTTGGGGGATATTTGACGCTAACTGTAAACTTGACAATCGGCCGCAGAGGGGACTCAGGGGAGCGCAGCCGTGTACCACCAATTTTGTGCACCATTAAGCCCTGAATCGAACGTCTTGGATCTCTCCCGACCTACACCAATCAACCGTGCACAACTCGGCTTTGTCCTCTTCCGGCCTTGACCACCACCTGCCGTGCACCACCAGACCGCGGATCGAATATGACTTCCAGGCATCATTCAATTACGTAATTTTACGTTCACCGCATCTGAGGTTAGGTTTGAGATAGCATAGTCCTGTTTCAAAATTTATCGTACTTCGACAAGTGGCCGTTCGACCGAGGGATGGTTCGACCCACGGCCTAGATGGGTCGCCTGCCGAAGACCACCACTGCCCTGGATGTAATGGACCATCATGATTCCTGCCTTCCGGAACGCAGCCTTCAACACTTCAAGCCGTCCGTATCCTGTCTCTTATACACATCTTGAGATTNCCCGTTTTATGCTATGGCTCGGACTGAGCTGCAGGAAACCCTCCATGAACTTGGAGTCTCCATAACAGTCCAAAACTTGTGTGGAGGAGGGGATTTCCCTCCTCCTGTTCAGTTCGCAATAGTCAGTGCCTTTACTAAATACCTTCTTGCTACTGGGCGTTTGAAAGAAATGTAGTTTGTTCCAGCTAATCACTAATTTAATGGTCATCAACCATCCTTTTGATGCTTTTGAAGCATGACAGTCTTGGCAGGATCCTCCCCATCACATGACTAATTGTAAATGTGACTCCTGTACAGGACCTTTCCAAGATGTGTACAAAATCCCCCAGACAGGAGGCTCCCCTGTTGAGTTTTGACCCTGATGGTAGCAGTCAAGTAGATTAGAAGATTAGCATCAGCAGGTCTTGAACACAATACTTATTTCCCCTGTACCCAATAAATATGATGCTCCAGGCTGCGCCATCCCAGGCTGGACCATCTGGCCCTGGCTCTCTGTCTGGGTAGACCCTCCAGTTAGGTAAGGGTTACTAACATGCATGTAGCACTAATTCCGTGACCTAGTAGTTGAATGAACTAACAAACAGAACAACATCTCAGATTTGCGAACTTACCGAGGCCTTTGCCCTCAGGTTTGTGCGGCCAAACCCTTGATGCCTGTCCAGACGTGAGGCGAGTGGTGAGGAACCAAGTCCTCAGAAAGCAGATAGAAGAAGAATCATGATGGTCCATTACATCCAGGGCAGTGGTTGTCTTCGGCAGGCAACCCTAACGTACATAGAATGCTGTATATAGAATTGTGCACTGGGCCTCATAGAATGAAAAGTAATTGAAATGCACTATGATTTATGTCTCCAAAACATATGATGGTTGTCACTAAAACATTTTTTTCTATTTCATCCTTAGTATCCTTAGTACCAAGTCGCTCATAACTGTCCCTTCAGGTATGTTTTTCACGATCTTTTTTGTTATAGTGAAATCACTTGACTCAATTAACATTATGCAAAATTACAAACCATCGTGTAAGCTTAGGGACGACTGAAATAGCCCAGCATTGCCCAATACCAGCATAATTTTCATACTTCTCCCCGTGCCGAAGCATGCTGCCAGCTGCAGAGCAAATTAGCCAACATGATTACTTGCTGAAAGCCACAGGGACCAAACCCCTTCATGGATGTAAACCAGCGAGCCAATGAGCTGCAAGCCACCAAAACAATGGTCATAACTCATAATCCACACGCTAAACCCTAAAATAGTTCTATTCCATGCAGCCTAGCCCTTTCACCACTTTCGATAAAGAACGCCCTGCGCCACTGTGCTATCAGTACACTGCTACCTCTCCAGCCTGTCCATTTTTCTGGAGGCTAAACCTCCATGATTGCCCCTTGCTCCCCCTCCTTTTGGTACCAGCTTGCGGAAGAATTCTAACCAAACCTAACCTAACCTAACCCTTTTATGGAAAGGTGGAGAGAAGGGGGTAAGTGTGGAGGAAGAAGATGCTGGTGAGCATCAGGGCTGGGCTTACGCCTGCAAAATGGGTAAGGTGATGCGACAGTCCGGTATGGGGCCGTTCCCATTTACGGCAGTCTGGTGCGGTCTACGGACCCTGTGGCTTATGGCATTTGTAACAAGTGATGGTAGCTTGGTAGGGTAAACGCGGTATATTCCGACACATTAAGGAGGCATCGAGAAATGAAAAACTATAAAAAAACCGTATGCGTTATGTAAGTTCTGTTGGCTTCACGTGACTCTCAAAACACCGCACTACGCGTCAGCAACGATGAAACGTCACAAAATGTTGCCATATTTATTAAAAAGCCTTTAGAATGGAAACCTATAGATGAGGCAAGTAAGAACAGCTGCATAGGATTTAGGCTGACTATTTCTATTGCATGTAGAGGGTTGGCATTGGCTCTTGGGCTGATTTAAGAGTAAAATTTTTGTGCTACGGCAGCGCTCCCTATTCCCTAATCTTACAGATACAGAAGAAATGCTACATGGCTGCTGATATGAAGCTTGCAGTGGATAAGGTCATTGTCACACACTTGTCAATGCTCAATGGCATGTCCATGGAATATACCCTCGAGCTTGTAGTCTTTGTAAATGATATCCTTGCCAGCCCCTTAAATACGGGCATGGATACAGTAATATCACATAAATAATACAGTAATTAATGAATATGGTAATATAATATCAATAAAGGAAAAAAAAGTAAAAATCACAGAAAATGTCATTTATTTTACATCTACTTCTACATCATCTACAATGAAAGAGGAGGACTTCAAAGTTCAAAGTACTGTTAGTAATGGATGAGTACACTCTGTGACTCTGCATGCTTCAAATGTTTTAAAATTAACTTTTATTGCAAGTGTCCCAGATTACCCCGTTCCCAGGGGTAAATTGGGACTGTTTTATTTTGCATCTGGCACCTTACGAATAGCATATGGATTTTTTTTGAAGATGCCATTGGATAGCCCTTGCAATTCGCAAAGAGCCATAAAATGAGCCTAAACTTTTTTCTGAAATGTTTCATGGTAAGAAGTTATTAGCAAAAATCGCTCAAAACCGTCCCTTTTTACCCCGTTTGATGGTACTGCATCTGCTGATGCATGTGAGCATCTTTGACAGGGCATCAGCACAGTGGGTGGTGTGTTCTGATTCCAAGTCAGGCTTGCAACTCATAAGATCCTTAAGCCCATCTTGCACATCTATTGTATCCAAGATCTGCACAAGCTTGCTGGCTCTGCAGTCTGCACCTGGGGTGTCTGCTGACCTGCAGCCAGTTAAAGGCTATGCTGGAATACATGGTAACCAGGTAATGAACTGCCTGACAAAGTTGCACAGCTGGGACACTCACTTGACTTCATGGTGCTCTTACACTTTGAGCATTTGGATCTCAAGAGCTGCTTACAAAAATGATTGCATGAGCACTTGTGTCAGAGGTAAGTGCAAATGTCAGTGGTAAATGCAAATAGGAAGGGTGTCCACCTGACTACAAAAAGAAACAAGTTGTTCTCCATCCCTTGGGTGGTTGCTCCCATTTTTTGAGCAGTGGCGGTCCTGGCTCAACTCCCTCTAGGCCATGCAGGTATTGGTGCTTATTTATTTTGCTCTGATATGTCACCCTTTCCAAGGTGTTGCAACTGCAATGGGTAGATACAATTGAGCACTACCTTCTTCCCTGTGGACTAAATCAGGAAGCTTGGCAACAGATTGAAAGAGTTGTGGCTACCTATGGTAGTATGAATCCTCTTACAGTCCAGGATCTATTGGGCGAGGGAGACTTCCCAGGAAGTGCTCAATTTGCCATATTTAAGGCTGCGGTTGTGTACATAAGGAGTACAGGACGCCTAGAAAATCTGTGAGTACATCAAGATTCCTTGTGGCGCTACTCAGACCTAAATTATAGAAAACTGTTGAAGATCTTTTGATTAATCCAGGTGAAACAAGTTCTCTGTTGAGAGCAACTCCAGTCACCTCAAAATGGACAACAACAACAACAATTTGAAAATCTGCTTTGAATGTCATTCAGAATTAAGATCAT